CCATGGCAGCGGGGCTACACCTGCGCCAAGGGGCGAAGCTCCTTCAGGCCCAGCGGGGCCCCTCGCGCCGTACGAGGCGGCGGGCTCACGGCCTCTGGCCTTGTGGGCGCCGCGCGGCCATGGAGGCGCCAGCGCCAGGTTGCGAACCCTCCCCGCCTGGGCAGGGGTCTGCCCGAACCGGCGTCAGTCTCCCGATGACTGCTGAAAGCAATCGGGGAGATTTCTATAGGACATTTTACGAAAATCAAGTAACGTAATGAACGCACAATACTCGTACCGAAGTTCGTTCGCTGTTAAAACATACCGGTGTCGCCTGATCTCGTTTCCTGTCCCTTGGCAGCGTCGTGCCGGACTGGGTAACGTCCAGCACCGTTAGCGACCGTGTCACGTGGGGGAAGACATCTCCCCGAGTAGTTCAGGCAGAGTCGGCGACCCCAGCGAGCGAGCGCCCGCTGCCGCGGCCCAGAGACGGCTCGCGGGGTGCGGGTCGGTCCGCTCCGGGGGCAGCCCCGGAAGCAGCGAACACGCGTCTCCTCAAATAAAGCTCCCGCCATGTTAAATATTCATAGACGTATTTTATTATTTGTGCATATTCAAACATAACATCTTTCATAAACATAATTTAGACATCTCTTTATCTGTACGTTACCCACGGTCTTTGGTCATTTCATATACGTCATCATCTTCACAATTAGGTACTTTGGGGAAGGACAGTCGATGATTTTTCTCCTTTCAGATCTAAAAGAGTCAGGCTTTGCAATTCACCAAGTCCTTTTGAAAGGTCATCTTACTAAAGGGGACTTTCATTCTCCAGTTGTGCGCATCATGAGAATGAATTACACATTCATAATGCAGAGGATTTACATTAATTTGACATTTTTATCCAGTCCCATGTATGCAAATTTGCCTTAAACATACAAAAGCTGATTAATTTCAAAGCAAATCTATTCCCTCTGTTTGGTTTAGCAAGATAGCTTTCCTTTAATTGCAACATACAAGGCCACAACACTTTTTGATATTTCTTCCCAATTTCCAAATGCCTGCTTAATTGCCCTGAGATCATACTTTAATAACATATCCACTTGGTGGTGGATGTGAAAATTGGTGTAACTGGTTTCTTCGCCAATATTTTGTTTCCTGCCCGTTCCCCCAAATATTTCTTTGGCAATGGAAAGCTGAAACATTTTAAAGCTTAAAGTTTGTTCAAATTGCAAAGGGGATGCCCTATTTTGGGCTGGAACTACTCATTTTATGAAGTAAGCTTTCAACTCAATGAGAGTTTCTAGGTTTTAGTGGGTTTTTTGAACTTGGTGGATAAATGACTAAAATTTGTTTCAAGACTACATCTTTTCCCCCTCCCCTCCCGGTACAGTTTTCCTTCAAAACGCAGGCAACAGTATTATTTAAAGTACATCCTGCAACATTCTTATGCACATTTAAAAACATATAAATCCACTGAGACATTCAGCACAGTTAAGGTCACATTAACAGGATACAAAAACATACAAATGGATTACACTGAAAGGTCCCAGTATAAGGATACTCCCTTTGTATAAGGCTGCTTTGGGGGTGGATGATGTTTGGCGAGGCACATATTACAGATAACAGGTTAAATTCTAACAAACTTTGCATCCCAGCGAAGTACGATAATCTCACGTAGCAGGTTGACAGAGCCTTTTAGAAAGGGAGACCTGTATAATGTTGTACAAAAGGATTAAACACGAATCCTTGTTTTTTAATTACTCTCTATTTGCAGAACATTTATCGGCCTAGGCATATTTTGTCTTTAATCCTTTGAACAACCACAAGTTAAGACAGGATGCTGAGGCAACAGAACAAAACAAAACACTGACAGACATCTGTATAGCCCGGACATTTGTTGAAGACATGCACTTAAGGCCTCTAACACTAATTAAGCAGCATCATTTTTTTTTCACAGCAGAAATATATACCAGTCACTTCATAGAGATACTGAAAAAGCACAGAATCTGCTAAAGTATATATGTATGCACCTTATTAGTACAATATTAAGTGCAAACAAAATGAAAATAAACTACACAAGAACACAGACAGACTGGTTAAGCCTGTCTGGTCAACAGCTTAATAATCTTCTAATAAAATTATAGCCATCATCTGGGCCACCTGAATAATGTAATGTTTAATTCTCTGATAACATCATTTATACACTGCATTGTTTTCTTGGACTTCAAAAGAGGCATTTTTTAGTCCTTGCTATGGCTTACTGAGATGGATTCAGCTTGTAAAAGCAGGAAACCTTAATGAAAACATGTATCACAGATACTGAATTTTGCACAATAAATCACAGTTATTTCCCTATGATTAGAACAGAATATTATGGCAAAGCTTCTACCTCACAATAATGTAAATAATTCCTATTATCAGCTTAACAAGTCACTCTAAAAATTCATGGTGGGTGTGGCGCTATATAGATTGTGTTTCAGTCATTTACCAGTTTACCTGCAAGATTTTCTCCCCAGCAGCCAGCTAATCCAGCTGTGCCTGGAATCTGAAAGTGAAGCTGCGTACTCTCTCATTTGTATGTCATTAATAATACAAATCCTGCCTTTGAAATTTGATAATGATTGTGATGATGTCCAAGCCAGACAAGTATTCAGTGCACTCTCCTATAGATAGATGGTATGGTCTCTGAGTTCTGAGAGAAGTTGAAAGTAGTAACACATATTTTGGTCAGCAGTGAACATAGTCGTCATTCAGAATAACCATGAGAAGCAGATCTATGTGGAATAAGAAGCTGCCATTTTTACATAGCCATTTTGTTGACAATAAACCCATTGTAAGGTTGCCTTTTTACTCTGTACAGTTAAGGTCTAATCCTGGAAAGTGACAAGCGCTTCCTGAGAGGTGCCACATACCTCCAGTTTACACTGATGTCAATAGTGGCAGAGGGGGCTTAAAACTTGTGATCTGGGCCTTAAGTGAACTCAGAAAAAAAATAAAAATTGTTGTCATCAGGTATCTGCTGTGTCTGAATAATATAGAAGGCCAAATTCTGTACTTAGCTGTACATACAGGGCCCTCACAGACCTTGCATATATAGAAAATAAGTAATACTGCAGTACAGCGGTTTCACTGGTCTGAAATAGCAGAAGCCAGTTATACAGATAATTTAAATGAATGAAACGAAAACCTGGAAAGTAATAAAAAAGCAAGGGTACCAATCTATTTTAGAAATATTTTACAGTTATTTAAGAAAATACATGGGTTTTTTTGTATCGTTCTCTCTCTAACACAAGGGTTGTTTTTCCATAACTTGAGTCTAAATTATGGCTCTTGAAGAGGTAAAAAGATTCAACTTCTTTTTAGAAATTTTCAAAATGATTTTAAATAACTTTACTATGCATAATAATGCCACACTTATAAGTTCTAATGTCTCATTCTACAAAGATAATTGAAAATGCATTATATGAACACAGGTATCCAGGTTGTAGCTGTATTGGTCTAGCGGAAAAAGCAATCAGGACTCATGGTAGAGATGATATCTTCTATTAGACCAACAAAATTTTTGTAAAATTTCTGCAATTAAAGACAATTTTTTGCAAAAATCTTGTTGATCTAATAAAAAAATACCATCTCTACCATGAGTCCTGATTGCTTATATGAACACATGCACATAACTGGGCATTGCTTATGATATCTTGGTATGTGTCTCAGTTGTTTTGCAATTTTTCTGTAAAGCCAATGGCTAAATCAATGCTTCAGTATAATTCTGTGATCCTGTAGCACAGGCCATAAAGTACCCATGATTTTAGTCAATTCCCAAAGGGAACACTACGTATGTATAAATGTTATGCAGGTATATCTAACTAAATATACAGAGTCATAAATACTGCATATAGTTATATACATACATAGAGCGGAATCTTTTTAAATACAATCTTTGTGCACATAAAATATATTCTTTCATCAAGTTCATCTCCTGCAATACATTTTCTGATTTCCAGTGTATATATCACAATGTGAAAATATGGATTATAAATATTTACTTAAAATATGTGTTTCCAAGTGCATCCAGAATAGATATTTGCATCATTGAAGTCCACACATTCTGTATTTTTTTACAATAAAGACAAATTGCTTAATACATTTAAGCAAAATATATAGTACTACTTATGCCATCTATAGACCAGTGACCCCCTGCCCATCTGTATTTAGCCTCAACCTTGAGGGACTGCTGACAATTTAAATGGACAATTTAAATGGATTTTAAATAAATACAGGGTATATAAATATTCTATATAAATATAGGGTATATAAATACCCTACATAAATAGCCTATATTTGCACACAGCATGTGCATTCTTTCCTACAGAATGTGCTTTATTTCATTTTGCAGAGCGAATATTTGTATAGCCCCAGGGTAATATCTTGCAGAGTGCAATGAAACCAAGGGACAAAAGTAAACACAGCTAAAGCCTACAGTGCTAAAATGTATCTTTCTAATCATTGAATGGTATTTGTCATTGCTATGGGATTAGATAATATGATCACAAGTTTATTTTATTTAAACAATCTTTAGAACTATATTCATTGTCAGCATTTTGACTGTCGACATTTAGTCATGCCATTCTTTGATTTGTATACTAGAATAACCCTTCCAAAATTACAAAAATAAACTCTGGGGTGCAACATTAAGGTGGCCAACCTGAAAAAGGTTGTTCTTTTCTGTCTGGTATTTTGAAATAATCTGTTTTACTGGTGAAGCTGCTGACTGCAGCAGATTTTCAACACATCAGGGTTCTATGAATCAGATATGTGCCTTGGGCCCTGAGAAGCTTTATTTTAGTATTCTCCTCTGGTCTTTGTAGTCTGCTCTGAACCTAAGTGGATTTATCAAAAAAAAAAAAAGAAAGGTTGGCTCTTATTTTCTAAAACACATTTACTTGTCTATATTAAACAGGCCATTATGTATTTCCTCTGTCGGTTGTAAAGTGCTCTTTTAAGTAGTAAGAGACAATGTGGAGAAGGTACATTTTCTCCAACAAGACTCTACATTCTTTTTCCTCCCCACTACTGCAGTGCCCCATCATTTAAACATGGGACTCATCCAGGTCAACATCAGTCTCCCCGAGCTCAACATGTGTGTAGGTGAAGTGACTAGAAAGAAGAGGATTCTCCATCCCATTCTCTTCACTGATGTGAAGGACAGTGTCTTCATGCTGCAGCAAGCTGGTAGTCTCTAGACCTGTGAAGTCTTCCGTGTCAGAAAGTTGTGTGGCGCTGTGTGCTGGTCCTGGCCTGGACTCCAAATCCTCCTCTTCGTCTTTTTCCTTCTCTGCAGAAAGTGCCTCAGTCTGGAATCAAAAGAACTTCTAGTCAGTTTTGAACTTACAGGAAGAGAGAAGGAGAATTAAAAAATGGTGCAAAAGAGCACATGCGAAATATTTTCAGACTTGTTTACTTAAAAAGACTAAATTGCAAGTGCCTTTTAGTTTCAACATCCAGTTATTTAAATATCATAAACCTAAACTTTAGGGAGTTTTTTTTCCTGCTTCATATATCAGATTTGTAGTGAAAATTACAACGGTCATCTTGGTTACAAGGCAGATAGGACTTAAAGTTCTTTTTCGTTTCCCATTTAATTTTTAAATTATATATTCAAAGTTGGATTTTTCCATTCTTTTTGTTGATGCCCAAGAACATGTACCCCTGAGAGAGATCATAAAAAAATATTTTTATGCCACTAGGCCTCTTCTAACCTCTGGATTACCAATTGTAATCTTTGCACCATAATATACCCCCATCAAGAATTTTTAACACCTAATTTCTTTCAGCAGTGACTGCAGGGTAAACAGGTTGTTGCAAAGCTTGATACTTTTGTTATTACAGTAGCATTTTTATAGAAATCCTTCAATGATGCACAAGTTTACCCTAACCCCAGCCCCACCTCCAAAGAGCAGTAAGGCATTGGTAGAAGGATGTGTACACATATCTGAAGAAACAGGAGGAAGATATAGGATTAATCCAGCCAAGGAAATGCATTAGTGAAATTCTAATGGAAGCTGAAAGAATTAAGACAAATGTCTGGAAGTTGGTCATTTAAACAACCCGTAGTGCAGCTGGTGACCTCAATCGAAAAGAAAACAAAATACATCTGTATCTTTGCTCCCCGGCTATGTCCCTTTATGTCCACCAGTGACATTCTGCATTAGACATTTTTACTATTTTTTCTTTACTTCTTTAAAGGACAAGAACATGACCTAGAGACCAAAGTGGGTAAAACCATCCCACAATTTACCTGGCTGGTGGTCTGGTGGAGATCAGCCACAACAATGGCAGGAGAAGAGGTCAGGACAGGTTGATTCACAGCTTCCTGCTTGCTGACTTGGGCAGGGCTGCTTCTGCTGCCAGCCAGCTGCTGGGCTACCACTGGTGTGGTATCTGCTGTTGAGGGTGCTGTTACATTTGTCTGAGCTTCAGTGAAAGTCACTGATCGCTTTTGATCCACTGTAGTGCCAGGTGTGGGAGAACAAACACAAAAATACTCGAACTTAGGAAAAATAAGACTATAACTAACACTTTTTATGTATATATTGTGTCTTTATTTCCAAAGCGATTAAATTGACTTTAGCTTCAGAACTCCTATGTGAGTGAGGTATTATCATCCTCATTCAGATAAGGAAATTGAGAACATATGCTTAAGTGACATACCCTAAGTTTTATAGGGAATCTGTAGCATATCTGGGAATAAAAATCAGGGCTTTTTGACACACTTATACCTTCACTAGAAAACAGGCTAGTGAAAATAGAGAGAATGCTGCATGCAGTCACCAAAACTGAAATTTACCCAGTGGAGTTAATACCCCAGCTCTTGCTTTTAATAATGTTTGGGCACATCTATACATTCATTAATACACTTTAGGTGATGCACATTAACTCCAGGACCTCCATTGGGAGGTACAGCAAAATTCCTGTTTTCCAGCATTCTACTGGCCGGCATACTCTGGCACCACACCACTGCCACCATCCATCTCCCCACACCACCACCACGTGCAACCCCCCCATAACTGCCACTGCTATTCACCACCCCGTGCCGCCACCACCGCATGCAAGCCCTGACCTCCAGCTCTGGTGTTTTTAGATAAACCAGCATTTTTACATTACCGGCACCCGGCATTCCCCACTCATGCCAGATAACAGAAATCTTACTGTACTAGAAAAAGGCACATTAGCCTAGTTTAATGCACATTAGCTAAAGAGCACTTTTTTGTGATGCTTTAATGCACATGACAATAGGCTAACAATGCCCTTTGATAACAATGTAGGGTTTATACATCTCCAACAACATTGTCAAGCTAACATTAGGCTGGCTTGCTGAGAACGTGATTTCCACATGGACTTTGAAAACCTCTTGCGGGTTTCATGAGGTGCAGACTACAGCTGCCTGCCCTACTTAGTGGCTTTAGCAGCAGAAAGCACGTAGTGGTAGTGTTCTAAAGACTGAACTGGCTCCTCTGTGTTTTCCCCACATGCAGTTTTTAAAGGCCTATCCAATTTAGGTTTGAGGTATATAATAAATTTCCTCTTTTACACGTGTTTTACCAAGATATGTCAGTCTCACAGCCTAGCAGTCTCCAGACATGCAATTCTGGGTGCCACTGGGCATGTCTACACATGCATTAATGCACAGTGGTTCCTGCGCACTCAGTTTAGCACCTGTAATAACAGGTACTAACTAAATGCACAGTAACCAGTGCTACTATGCAGAAGCATAGGGATTTCACTGGTTCCTGCGCGTTCAGTTTAGCACCTGTAATAACAAGTACTAACTAAATGCGCAGTAACAGCGCTACTACGCAGTAGCACTGGCACATGCATTTTAGGTGATATTACTGTGCAGTAGACTAATTCCATTGTGCATTACCATGGGTTTTGCCCGCAGTGGTAATGTGCAATAGAATTCATTCCAAGCATCTTGTGTAGATACACACTAACAGAAAATTCATAATAGAGAAGATTTAAATTTTAAATCTTCTACCTTTGGGTGAAAACATAATTCAGTGTCTATGTCCAGCCACATCTTGCCTTTGGAGAAACTACCAATTTTGTGGAAGTAATTTTTCTGATGTGAGTATATGTCCTCCAAAAACTGTACTGAAGCCACGAAATGCATTTCACATAGGTTAATGAAGAACAAGTAGCAGTAACTTTGAAAACCTGGAGTGGACATGATATAGTGAAAGGCTTACATTTTATTATTAATCCCCCAAGCCATCCAATGCTTCTGTTATGAAAACTCTACAGAAGACATGCCTAGGTTCATTGCAAACCTAGTTAACACAAGCTTAGTTGCCTCACCACTTGGTTTTGTTTTTGGCTGTATGCTTCGACGAGTTGTTGAAAGTCGAGCCCCATGACGGTTACGACGTTCAGTTTGGGTCTTCTGACGTGACAGAAGAGGCCTTCGGAGCTAAAGAATAGAACGAAGAATAATATTACACCAAGCAAATACTTGTATATAATTGAAGCATTCTTCTCTAGGAGATTAAGTCTTGCCATTTATGCAACACTAGTATGTATGTCAACTCATTTATCTTTTAGTGGATATACAATTTTTGCTTTCTTTAATGTGGACATCACTTTACCAGTACTATAAAAGTTATGGATGAAACATCATACTTCATGCCAATTCAGTTCTAGTGCAGTGCCTTTCTTACAAATAAAATAGTTATGTAAGGAAGGAATGAGAATAGTAATAGAAGGAAGAAACATACATTTGTAGATTGAAACAAAACATACCTTCTTTCTTGGTGGCTTGGTAGAACCAAATGGGTTGGGCTTGCCCAACCACTTCTTGTTAAGTCAGATAATGTTAATGGTATAATATGCACGGGGTAGAGGGAACAATAAATGGGCTGCTGGACACTGGCATGACCACGTTCACACCCTCCTCTGGTCTTACCTGCCTCAGGCCTCTCTTTCTCCCCAGAGGTTGCTGAAGAAGAAGATTCTGTTGTCCTGGTTCACTTTGAACACTTGCTACCCTGGAAAGTGTCAAGAGGGTTAGCCCAGCCATAGACACACAGTGAATAATTAGTACATTCCCTGGCACTTGTGACTATAAACACTAATGGCACAACCACTTCAAAGACCGCATATCTTTGAAGGATGGGGGAACATATCAGTTAGGTTGCTGATTCCAGGGTTTGGACAGGAATGGGAGAAGGAATCATGGCATTCAGGACTAGGCCAGGTAGCACAAAACTGTAAAAACTGAGACTTTCAGTTTTCAGTCATTGATCGATGCACCCCATTGTTGAACATCCACTTCCCTGCTTCCTTTGCCACATTGGTACCCACAAACAAAGGCAAGGATGCCATTTTATCTCTGGGGGGGAGGGGTTGTGAGGATCATTATAAAGGCCATTTTCCTCCCATTTGAGCTCCACTCATTTTGTCTTTTGCCTTTAATTGCAATTTAAATAAACAAAATGAAATATGAACACAACTGACAAAGATTTAATTCACATAATGGGTGCATGATATATGTAAACAAGGTTTCACATTCAACACTTGCAGCCTGAAACCTCTTTGTGGCTCATGAGCAAAATAAAAACAGTTAAACATTATGTTAAAAATCTTAAAGCATTCGTTTTGTTTTTAATAGGTTGTCAACAAACTGAATCTCTGTTAAAAATCAAGCAGTCTGAACAATCAAGGGGACTCTTCATATCATTAAGCAGCCTACACCACTTTTTCCTCAATCAACTTCATATTGGTGTAGCAGATTCCCCCCTACCCTCCCTCCTCTTTTCACAATCCTGAAGTCCTCCCAGTTTTGTCACAATTAAAGCAGGCAACAGTCACAAAACGGCTTGGTTGAAAAAACCGAATCTGAGACACATATGGTTACAATGGTGAGTAACATTTAGATGAACTTCTTTTAAATGGGACAGCTGCTTATTTGGGACAAAATTAAATCCACTGAGGCATGCATCCCAATTAAGCACCTTCTAGCTGTATTTAATATGCATTGCTGAATATTCAGTACTACAGTACATTCTGGTTTTGGCATGCTTTTATCTATGAGGGGAAGGGGGGAAATTCCTGTTCTTTTGAATTTTCCTGGGCTTTGCCACCTCCTTTGGAGAAGGTAAGAGGCTCTAAAAGAAGTGAAGCTTGTTCTACAGCCTTATGAATACTGGAAGAGAAAAAGATGGAGCTAATACTTTGGCAGGTTTACTATAACTACACTACTGGAAAAGTGGTCTTGCTGAGCACAAAGAGAGAACACCCTCCTCTGGGCATATTCTCAATATTTGCATGTGATTTCTATATGGTTTACATACAAAACATTCTGAACATCAAGACAAGACTATTCCTCTATGAATGGTGCAGTCCTCAAAGCTACTTCCAGTTGGCAGCATTGCATTCTTGACCCAGACAACGGCCTTACAGCACGTGCAACTGCTTGGGATCCAGTAAACTCCAGAAGTGACACTTTCTGAAGTTTACCAAGGCCGAGAGGGTGCATTTACATTTTTTCCCTTGGGTTTGACGTGCCTAATGCTTGAAATTGTAAGAAAATTGTTAACTTTCTGTTTCTAGATTACTGCAAACCTTGCTCCAGGAAATTTTAAGAGACTTAAGATATATATCCATATGTGAATAATTTTAAGTAGAAAATAAAATCAAACCTATTTTTTAAAGGTTGCAAAATGTATTTTAAAATGGTGCTGCAAGAGAATTGGCTATTCAGCTAAGTGGCTAACTACCAGAAAGTTATGGTAAGATGGTTCTTGCGGTTTCTGTGGAAGAATGATGTCTGTTAGTTCTGTCAATGGAGAGGCTGATTTCTGTAGAAAAGACTAACGTTACATTCAGTTTAAATAACCTATTATTTACAGTGGTGGAACAAGCTTATAAAAATGAGCATCATGCAAACACTTTGAGAACCTCATTAATCAAGGATGGCACATGATTCCTGTAGACATGACACAGACATGAGGAAAAAAATGATTCCCATGGACTGCTCTGTGCATTAAAGACAAACAATGAAGAGACAAGTGACAGGCTGGACTCAGTTGTTTTTTCCCATCTTGTATTCAGGGCTTAAGCCTACCTTACAACATAAGTGAGACAAGTTTAGCATTCTAATGGATATGTGTCTCCATCAAAGAAGCATTGCACAAGCTGGTATAATTCAAGTTGAGCATAGACTGGGGAGGTCCGTTGCTGGCAAACAGTGAGAAGGACAACAGTGAAGATGAACAGAGATGCCTGCACCACCCTAATGTGACTGTCCTTTATCCCTTTCTCCTTTTACACTGATTCACCCAAATTTAGTAAGGAATAAAGAGAAACAACTGCCAATTTAAGTTGAATAACTGAATTTCCTGACATAAGTTCGATTCCATCATGGTTTGTTTTCTTCCTTGCAAGAGCACCAACCACCTTGTTTCTGTGAAAATGAGTTCCCTAGGGACTGTTGATGCATGCATACTCTCCTTCCTTTTCTGCCTTTCAATGTCTACTGAACACAGCCAAGAGCGTACTATTTTTCTGCTCTTGCCTTATATTCAGGAGGTCAGTTCACAGGAATTCTGTCGAACAGGTCTAAATCCAATTCCATTTTCAGATAACAATTTATTCCTCCTCTTTTGTGAAAATGGGATCTGTAAGATTTTTGTTACACCGCATAAACCAGATTTATCTGGGGAGAACACAGCTGTAAACTTTCCCATCCATCAGGACTGTTGCTCAGTCACTCACTGCATGCCCACGACAGGTGATGCGTCTTCCTAATCATGTTACTTCCTTCACAAGGTTAGGACAGAGACAGACAAACTAACAAGAATTCATGGATGCTTGTTGTCAACACTGCAACAAATGTTGGTCCAGTGCAACACTCAGATCATAATGAAATAACCTTATCAAATTGGCATTTATAGTAAGATATCTCCATGAAAAACAAGAAATAATGAAGCAAATAAATGTGTGACAGAGGAAAACAAAAACCAGAAAGAGCAAGTAAATATTTTTAAAACAATATTAAATGTATTATAGTCACTGTCAAAAATCCTGGTAATATCTTGGTAGAAAGCATGTGCTGTACTTCTCAAGAGATTGGGAATGGCCCATGTTCCCAGTATTTCAATTGATTGTTCTGGGACAAAGGTAACTCAGATTTGCTGTGAAGGACCAGCAGAGAATGGGTTAATATGTAGATTAAATCCAGCTCCCAATTTCCCAGAAGCATTTCAGCTGTCAGAATCAGTTTAACATAAAGATATTCCTATACACTTGCTATATTCATTGGTCTAATTTTCCTTATTAATCATGATTAAAAGTTTCTTTGTGCACCAGCTTCCAATCACAGAAGTTTTCACTCTTTTCCTTTGTGCTTTGGGGAAATCTCCCCTCTTTTCTCAGTTATAATCTCAACAAATCATGTGATGAAGAAGTCTTTATCGCCTACCCCCCTTCTTTCTGCATAATGTGCATATGAATGCTGTTCTCTTTCTGCCTTCATATCTTTTATATGTGTAACTCTAATTGGTACATAGGCTTTACTGTTGTTTTTGTTATTGCTCTTTTCAATGAAATTCCTGCCTTCAACCATGTTTTGTTATTTAATCTGTTATTCCATTAACCTAGGGTAAATATTACTGAACTTTGAATTTATTAGGCAATTCTAAACCGTTTTTATCCACGTATTCAAGAGCTAAAATCAAAGTTATCTAAAGAAAAATCTCAGCTTGATTTATTTAAAACTAATGTTCCTGAATATAAGAGCGTATTTACCCTCTGCTATATCAATGATCTCCACAGTACAATAAGCAGTTATGCTGTCTGGCTGTTTTATTGCTTTTCTCCTTTAAAAGAAGAATCCAATTTACACATTTAAGTACATACAATACAGCTAAAACATTGCCTTTTCATCTTCTACAGAACTAAAATTGTAGACTTTTTCACAGAGATTAGATTAGTTTACTCCACTACGTTCATTCTCTTTTAAGCTTTTGTGGCATAAAATTGTTTCCTGCAGATGTCTGTACCTTTCCCTGAGAAAATAAAACACCACCAGAAATATTCTTTCTGTATAAACCTACTTCCCCACACATGCCAAATGATTTTCTACTTTAGGGAAAACTTTGTAACAATGCAGTACAGGAGACAATGTCTTATTTTTGGCAAAGGTTGACATGCTAGGATTCAACAGCAACCCACTGCATATATGTCTAAATTTCAGAGACCAAAATTAATTACTGAGTTTGACCTTGTCAACTGACTCATCTATCATAAAATACCTGGCCTTGTCATGAAGAGTTGTCATGCAGAATGACTCCCATGTAATAGCGTGAAGACATTTCACAATCAACGTTGGGATGGGACTTATTCAGCAGGCTATACTGTCTTTATCTCAAACAGCTCTCCCCAAACATAGACAAGTTAATTCTCACAAAGTGAATGCACTTCATTTCTTTTGTAGAATGGTTTCTGTTTTTTCTCAGCGTGTGAACTGTTGCTCAGTTGGTTCTATCAGACAGATGCCTTACTGATATTTTTGGAACAAAATACATTTTGCTATAGGACAACATTCCTGGCTCTACCAAAGGAAAGCATCTTTTCTTGACAGCCCTTCCACATTACCACCAATCAGAGACTGATCTGTCAAGGCAAAGCACACGCAAACACAAATGGCACTATGAATTATGGGGATGATCTAAATGGCACAGCCAACAACAGACTAAATTTCCCATTTTTCAGCATTAAAAAAATGGTGAAATCTCAAAAAATACTATTTCACACAAGTGCCTCTCAACATGTCCTCATCTTTAGTCTAGCAGGGTAAAATAACAAAGCAATGCAGTTACTCTACATACCAGATTTCAGGGATCGTGTTCTCCCAGAACAAAACAAAGGTACTCTTGGGATGAACAAAATCTTTCCCACCTAATGAGGATCACTTGAGAGGTGTGGTCACAGTAGCACAACAGTAAAAATGATGTAGCAGGCTGAACTGATGGTTAAAGGTGCAGCCCTCCCTTTGAAATCGTACAACCAACATATTTTAAAGACATGGCAATGATATTATTTGTACAAAGAACAAACTCCCCTGTTCATGAGAAGCAGGAGCTCACAAGTTTGTATTCTGTCACTGCCAGCATAATTTTGAATATCCAAAGTGTCTGTCTTAATGTTTTCTAAGGCTAGTATGTGAACAATAGTAATGCATAGTAATAAGTGGGGATTACTATAAGGACATTTATAAGGAATTGCACTCAATAAGTAATATCAAGATTAGTAGTATTAAAGAACGATAAAAGAAAATGCCTATGATCTGTACATTATTATTATAATAGGGTTTCATGATGACAGTATTGAGAGTATAGAATGACAAATCTTTTTACAAGAATGTCTCTAAATCGATGCTTGTAAAAGATTACATTTAATATCTTGTGCATACTATTTCTCATATTTTCAGAACCATAGCTAACAAGGGGAAAATCCAAAACAGACAAATATTTTAGCCCAGCGAGCCTTTTTTTAACTCCTCAAAGTTGTTAACAATTAGAAGTTGTTGGCAATCAAAGCTGAAAACTGAAGATGGGTTGCTACACCTTTGACTTGCAGGCCTGAATATCAATGAACAACAAGAGACAGAAATGGAAAGAGAGACAAAAGGTGAGTAAGAGAGACAGAGGAGATAGGGAACCGATTATTTCCCAGCACAGACACTGACAGACAGGTAGTGTTGACACTGTACCTAGAGAGGCTGCCCTCAGCGGCCAGGCCCTGGGAGTCATCGAGGACATTAGGTTCACTGCAGGAGGGGCAGGGAGATGAAGAATTTAGGGAGAGAAAATGCAAAAAGCATGCAATTGTCTCTGTTTTTAAGGAAAAAAAATAACGGAATAAGAAAAAGAAAAAAAAAAGACGGTAAAATCATTTGGTCTTGCACTGTTTCATCAGAACTTATGGCTCAAGGCACAGAAAAAAGAACATCTGCTAAATTAAATTCTGGATAAAAGACTCAATCTATAGATGGAGGTTATGATCCAAAGACACCTCCAAATTTATACGGTACATTGCATGAGCTAGGAAGCTTGTTAATATAATAGCACTTCTTGGGAACACAAGGGTGGGAAACAGTTTTCAAAGCCATTTTTCTGCCTGCATTATATTATGTCCTATTTACTTTCCACTTCATTTCATAACCTTTTCCCCTATCCCTCACACATCAGTTCTCTTACTGAGATTTGTGCCTGTAATGCTAATCTACTTTTCATGACTTGTCAAACCACACCCAAGGTCTGGTTCCATTAAAAGACTAAACCTCCTGAAAGCTTTGTCTTACACTGCAATGAATCTGTAAGTAACAGCTGAAACATATACTGGCAAATCTGTACCCAATAATATTAATATTGCTTCAGCTGTTGCGTTGACTCCCTCTCCATTTCAACATGTTGCCTCTGATGAAGCATCCAAATGGACGAAAGTGGTTTGCTACCTTACCAACAAGAAAGCAATAACATTACTACTAAACATTAATTAGTTTACAGTTTTAATACCAACAAAAAGCCAAGAGACTATTTCTTGTCCATGATGAATAAAAAGGCTATGTGACTGTGAAATATGATATCTACTAAGCCTATTCTACGCATATAAAAGGAGATTTTCCCAGTAGATTGCATGCTTTAAAAAGCCAAGAGTCCAAAGCTATGTTGTAACTACACATTTTTTCTTAAAATCACCAACCAACAAGCACTATGGCTAGTGGTTCCTTGAAGGGAATATTTCTAACAACAAAATGTAGACTTTTAGAAAATTATGCAGCATAGAGTATATTGGAAATTTTGCAGTAAAACTGATTTTTTAAAGGAAGGAAGGAAGTCAGTCAGTCAAATGAAATAGGTTTACAAGTCAAATGAATCCTCAGAAGCCTCTTTTATGCAAACTCTTGAATAAAATCTACTAGCTTTGATTCCTGTTTCCCAGATCTGTGTTGGTATAAGCCATATCTGTTCCTTTAAGCTGTGACATGCAACACGGTTGTTTCTAACTGAACTACAACTGAGAATGGGCTAGGCCCAGTGCTGCTCTATTTTCCTAAGCCAGTCAAGAAAGGATGCAGAAATCACGTTTCAAGGTTTGCAGAGAATGACAAATTCATCTCTATGTTCTCCCTTTGTCAAAGTTCTTTAGAAATCTGTGTCACATACAAATAAAACATAAATAGTGGTTATGCACAAATAATAGAATTGAATTGGAAAAAACTGTCCCTGTGGGTCTAAGACTCACATCTGACTAACAACCTTCTCCTCCTCTTTTAGTAATAAGAGGCATCCGAGGTTATCTCCAGTGGACAAACAAGTTTTCCGGTTTTGAATAACATCACAAATCCTATTTCATACTTGACATTTGCTTTCTGAGATGAGCTAATGTCCAGAGGAAAATGAGTCTGTTCTGAGATGGACACAGATTGCATTAGATTTTCCCAGTACCTTGGGATTCCTCTCTACTCATTTCAAGTGCTGTATTTAGGACTCACAAAATGAAACCTCTAAGCATCTCAGGCACCCTAAAATCCTGCCAATGCTTTTGATATCAAATGCAGTAACAGGAATGGCATTAGCAGAGAATCAATAGTGGTGCGGTAAGATTCTGAGATTGCTAGAAGGAAATGTTTCTAACAATGAAATGTGGCTCTTATGAAGATTATGCAATATAGACTGTACTGGAAGATCTTTATATCAAACCCTGCAGCCTTTACCCAGTCAAGTGCTCTCACTGATGGCAATGAAACTACTTGCAATGCACGAGTAAATACTACAGGATCAGCTTCTTAGGTTGGCATTGACTTTACCATCCCTTATTACTGAGTCACACACAAGGTACCCTCTGTTCTTGGGATTATATTGGGAAAGATGAAAAAGCACATGTTGTTACCTTTGGCTGGGTAACAGGCCCACCTCAGCCTGAGGTGCAGACATGCTGGAGATATGGCTGGAGAATCGCCTCCTCCCAATGGCACCCATAAGGTATGCGTCCTGTTCACTTACCACACTGGGCATGCTCACTGAGTCATCTAGAAATGACATGGGAGAGAGTGAGAAAACAGTCATCCCAAATCCTCGTGACATGTTCACAGTTTCCACGCATTCACGACTCAGAGGTCTTCAAATTCCACTCTTGCCAACGTACACACATGTACTTTCATTTGTGCTTGAGTAGCAGCAGTGTAGTCATCAAGTGTTTGCAGGGTGTGGGGCTTTGCTGGGAAGCCCTCCCTAGGAAATGGCTCGTAAGAGAGGAAGTCTAGGATCTTCAGTTACTACTGCAATGGAATTGCTTTCGCTGTATTAACTCAAATCCAGAATGAGGTTTTTGACCCATTTAACATGGGGGTGGGGGGAAGCCCTTTGTCTTGGATTCAACTACAAGGTGGCAGGAGGGCAGGTGGCTGCTGTGGCTCTCACTGCAGTCCTGACCTGCTGCTTGCCTTCCCCAACCCCGCATCCTCCCCAAGGAGGATCTAACCCTCTGGATCTAGCCCCACTCCAGCCTGGGGCACAAAGCATGTTGTTGTTCAGCCCAAGCCCAGCCTAGTAACAGCTATTGTGGCAGTGGCAGCTCTGGCCAGGCTTGAAGCCTGGGTTGGAGCTCCCACTGCTGCTGCTGCTGCTGCTACTGGGCCAGGCTGGGGCAAGTGGGCTGGGCTGGAGCAACATACTCACTGCCTCTGGCTTAAACTAGGTTGGAGCTGGAAGATAAATGGCATGCGGGGGGAGCAGGCAGAGACTGCTGGGATATGGGGAAGGCAAAAGTCGAAGGTGAAGAGGCAGAAGGGGGTCAGGCAATAGCAGGGGTGAAGACACCAGGGTTGGGGGCTGGGTGTAGGGATTGGGGCGGGGGGGGGCAGGCAGCCGGGGGGGAAGGTGGCTCAGGCTACTTGACCTTCCCCATTGCCTGCCCCTCTACTGCCTGCTCCCATTGTCTGCAGCAGTGGCAGGGGGGACGACAAATTTACAATGCCCCTCTAATAACTAGATTCTATACATGGAAAATAATAACAAGTTGGTGACGTTTCCATGTATAGAACCTAATTATGTGGGGAGGCATCTTAAATTCAGGGTCATCTCGGATTGAGAACTACTCATTGGACATTTTGCTGATAATAAATTTTATGATTTAAAAAAACAACATTATTAACATTCATAGGAGCAATGAAGAGATTTACCAAATCAACAGGTTTTAACTTGCAAAAATAAAGATCTTTTCCCCCTCCTCAAAATGCTAACATTGTGTTCACGGGAATAAGGTTGAAATGATTCAAATATATCACATACTGTCACAAGACTGTGCAGATTGTTGGATTTTTATTAGACATGCTTGACATTTTTAATGACATTTGGAAATTAAATAAAATATCAGGAAAAAGTTAAGTAACAAAAATCTCGCAAGTGTCAACTTTCCAACTATTTAGCTGGTCTAATAAAAGATTTCACTTTTACTCAAAGGACCTTGTCTGCCTATGTCCTTAGACCAACATGGCTATGACCAACACCCCTTGTAATACTGGACGATCAAATGATCATTTTTGACTTGCTGGCATTTTTAACCTAACAAATAGTGTTAATACTTCTTGCTGAGAGGTTTGAGCTACCTGCTGCCAACATATTGTTATCTAAGCTCTTTTGCACTTAATTTTGGATTGATTTCTTTCTGTTGTTCTGGTAGCTTTTGCACACCCGTGCTGGTATGTCAGATAGCTTTAAATCAGATGAGGGTTGACTTAGGTCTGGCTTAAGGGCTTTTAATGACCTGAGCAAATAGGAAAATGCTTATTCTAAGTCATTCATACTGAATCCAAGACTGTGACCAATGGACACCATCATCACCAGCTAAACAGCCCATCAGAAAACTTGGGCTGAACCTTGTTTCGAACTAAACTTTCCCCTAAGATACAATTAATTCCTTGATCTTACAGGCCATCACATTATTTCATGTGTTAAAGCACTGGGAGGCCAAACTTTTTGGCAGGTGTGCCATACATTAGCCCTTCATCCTCCCTGAGTGCCACTCTGACCCACTTCCCTTGCCCAATCTGCTGCTCTGCTTTCTGTTCCCTGCCCTATCTGCCACTGTACTGCTTGCCCTCATGTGCCACACACAGGCTGCCCATGCCACTTGTGGCATGTATGTTGCAGGTTGGCCATCCTGTTCCAGAGGCATCCTGCCTTAGATTCTCATGTGTCTACTGTCTCCTAGGACTATCCAGCTGCCCTCAAGCAGCAAAGGTGAGAGGGAAAGGTTTCAAGCTATGGAGGCAACACTTGCATCACAAGAAGACAATAAAAGCTGGAGGAACGGGAAACCCAGGCCTGCTAGACAGAGAGAAGGGAGTTCCTGGCTTTTGGTTTTCAGGGAACGTATGCAAAACTTGGAGTTACTGATATCAAATTTGATTAAAGCAGATCCCCATGTCTCATGTGGAACTCAGCTGAAACCACATAAAGTATGTCTACTCCATGCTCTGAGAGGGTACCCTCACTCATGCCCCACTTACCCCTTCTCAGTCACATGTGCCCAAACTGGAAATACAGCTGTGAAGCTGCTTTGGAGGCACTGCTTGCAGTTGTTCTCAAGCATGAGAGCAGCCTTCATGAGAGCACAGGGGTTGCAATGTTGACACACACAACATGAAAACAGGTGTGTGCAAACCCACATCAATTAAAACAAAGGCAGAGTCACCAGCCCTTCCTTGCAAACTAGTACCAGGAGATTTCTCACAATGCAGGTCTTGTATTGCCTCTGCTACTAGTAGGAAGACACTACCCACAGCTTAATCCTACACAGTGCAGCTCTGTGCTGCATGCATGAACCTATGGTTAAAAATTATGAACAGGAAAGCAAAGGTGTTATAGCAGTGAAATGTCTGCTGCATTAGTTCTCAGTTAGTTCCTGTCTGTTAGCTAGATTAAAGCCAAAGACGGAACTGATAAACACCTTCTCAGTACTGTGGGGATTGCACTTCAGCTCCTGTCTCTTACACTAAATTCTCTCCACACCCTGCCTTGGGCAATCTTGTGCCCAAGAGTAAGGAAGAAGACACATCTGGACTGCTTTGAGAAGCAGCCACACCTAGTTTTTAACCTTAAGCCTACATGCAACCTCCACACACACTGAAAGTTGGGCAGCAACCACTATTTGCTGCTGCTTGGGTGCAAGCCCAGCAAGGCCTCAACACCAAGCAGCTGCAGAATATTCTACCGCTCAGATCAATGGCCTGGTCTCTCTGTAGACCAGAGCTGAGCTTGGGTAAGGAGATTCAACTTTACTCTGCTCCTGTAGCAGTAGCCACATACTTTCTTCATCCTCCTCATCGGTCCGGCTCAGAGTGTCCTGCGAAGCTTGCTGTGAAGGCTCACTGTCCTGCTCCCAGACTGTGCCAGTGCCTGTGTTGGAGCGGGACATGGTAGCAAGGCTCAGGCGGTAGGCAGAGGTGGAGGTGCCTACAGTGCTGATCGAGGTCTTCCCTTGATAGGCTGCACAGATGGGAGAAACCAAGCCCAAGACAGTCAGGATTATGGGGAAAAGGACATTGTTCCAGAAGGGCAAGACCTTTTATTTCAGTTTGGGTAGATGGGGAAAAAGGGATGAGCAACAGTGGGATGGAAGCACAGCTGACTGCAACAGCTCTGCTACTGAAGCAGAAGTTAAAAGGCAGAGAAAAGGTACACTGTGCTTACTTGGTGCTAGATCCGTACTGTTGCCCTGGCTCAGCTCACCTGTTCCAGACCTTTGGCTCTGCAAAATTTTCTCAGGCTCCCTGATTTTCTCCCTGAGCCTTATTACCACTGCCCCAACTTTGTCATTTGTAAAGCAAGGCAAGTGATTATGGCAGGAAGAAAGAAAGGTAAGGTGAGCTAATCCGTTTTCTTTTTAGATCGAAGCTCAGAATATTTGCTACATTGTGTAAGCAAGAGCCGCCCTCTAGTGGCAACAAACAAGAGGAGAAAACGGTCACTATAATATGATGGGGGTGGAGAGTGAGGTAGAGGTGGGTACGTGACTGATCTTGTAGAGCCCTGGATCTCAAAACTTTTTAGACTCAAGGCACCCCTCAGAAAAATGCCCACTTTTGGTTTTCACTTAATTTTTGACTACAGAAACCTAATAGAGCCATTCTTCTGCTGCAAAGAACTCAAAAAGACCACAATAGGGCAGAATGCTTTTAACACTACAGATTTGTATTTAAAATCTCTGGGTTTATCCTGTGATTCATGTTTGTACACCTAACATTGTGCTAACATTGTGGGCACCCTGAAAGAATCTCAAGGCATCCTAGGGTGCTGAGACAGCCTGGTTGAAAATCACTAATTTAGAAGGTTGGAGGACCCCAAAATGCTGAGCCACTGGAGAAAAGAGAAAAAAACCAATGCCTGCTGCGGAGTAATAAGCAAATAATCCTACAAGAGGGGAATTCAGAATACCTAGATCTAAATGAAGTTTATCACCTGCAAAATGGGAAGGTTACCAGCCCAATGGACACTCAGACAGGTTTAGCCTAGAGCACTGGATGGGCCAGCTAGCTTGAGCTGAAAATAGCAGCAGAACCAGGTGAGAGGCTGTGTGCATGCATGTGTGTGTGTGCATGCAGATAAGCCTCCTGAAGTCCTAGGATGAAACTCACTTTAAAAATAAACAACATTGCTTGCTGAGGTCAGCATGATACTGTAGCCCAATGCACACCTTCAGATAAGTCCACCCTTCTCCTTCTTTTGCCGCCCCCTCTCCATCCCTGGATGTCCGCACCTGACCCACTGTGCACTGCTTCCTTCAGGATCTTTAGCTCATTGTTGAATTCTGCAATGAGGGAGCTCTTGCACAAAGGGCGTGGGATGAAGCGCCGCTCTAGCTGGTCAGCAATGTGTTGTCGGGCAGTCAGTTCCTCATGATTCTCTGCTGGCTGGGCAAGCAGCTGAGAAAGAGGCATACAGTACAGAGTTAGCAACAGAACACTTTGGCATCACACCACTTATCTCTACATTTAGCTGGTAAGCGCTCTGATAGCATTATCTATCACCTAAGATTAGATCACCTCTGATAGCATTATCTATTATCTAAGATCTCCATGTAACCACCTGAGGCACTGATCTTGGGAACTGATGAAACCCTGCAGTTCCTTTTGAAGTCAGGGCTTTTTTCATTGTTCCTAGGATAAGGCTTAACAATGCAAGATAAAACACCTGCCTACCTTACAAGGAGTTCTCTGTAAGCACATTTAATGCTGGTCCATCAGAAAACCCTGATTTCTGGGATTCCTAAAATTCTATAATTCATTTCTGTCTCATTCTGTAGCAGTGCTGCCACTCAAGAGGATAGTGGAAGCTGAGTTTACAGACAATGTATTACACTGTACTCTCCATTATTCTTATTCATCAATACTATGAGGCAAATTATCCCAGCCAAATTATTATGGAGGAGGGATGATGAGACTTATTTTGCACCAACATGCCTGTGAGCAAGTGCATGGCTCAGAGCCAGGAGCCCAACTGCTGGGAGTTAATGAGTACTAGCTTGCCTGTTTTGGGGCATGGGGCCACTGACATGGATGACTGTCTGGATCAGAGGAAGTTAAAACCTCCCAGGGAGCGGAGCGGAGGGAAAGAGGGAAGACTATGGTGCCGAAGGGGCAACACAGAGTTGGGATAGTCCTCTATAAGACCATAGAAGGACCACAGGTTTGAGTTAACCCTTTGCTGCTTGTTTATGTGTTTGTTTTGTTATGGATGCTGGTCTTCCACTGGGGGCAAGTTTGCCCCAGAGAAAACAAAAAGCTGAGTGACAGCACGCTACACATGGTGGAGAACACATGGTTTTTAAAATCCATCATCAGCTATGACTGGGGAGGCAGAAAAAATGCTCTAGAAAGGGGGTCAGAGTTTAATGTGATCTGGCCCCCCATCCAAAGGAAGTGGAGGGTCAGGGAACCTCAGGTACGCATTGGGAGGGTGGGCTGGGTTAGGTTGGGTTAGGCCAAGATTTCATCTGGGATTGAAGGGAGGATCCGGTATATGCCCTTCTGTATGGACAGTTGGGACAGGCCAATGGGATCATAGTGGATACAAAATTAGCAATCCAGGATCCCCATTTTGAATTGTAGGGGGGGACCACCTGATAAGTGTGGCCACAAACAAGGTCAGAGGGGCCTAGAGGTCCCAACTGTTGGTCCTGAAACAATACTGACTCCAGGTTTTGAAACTGGCATATGTTGTAGCTTTTGGGGGGTGCTATTTTGGGGTGGAAAAGACCTAGGATAGAGTGCTGGTGAGGTTCTTTTGGCCTGGTATATACCAGGAAATCAAAGATTATAGTGCATCCTGCCCAAAGTACCAGTGGGTTGCCCTCCAGTTCACTCATAAGGCCCCACTGGTGCCTGTCCCACTGGTTGGCATACCCTCTTCCACAGTCATCCACAGGCTTTTCACCTTTCGAGTTACTATATGGCAGGCAGCCCTGGGGAGTGTTAGATCTCCTGGCAGGCCCAGGGGACAGTGACACAAAACATATTTCAGCATATGTTGAAACTACAAGAAAGGTTAGCCCTGGCACGACTCAACGCAAAGAAAAATCTCAAAGCAGCCCAACAAGAGCAAGAACAGCAATATAATAAAAATGCTCAGCTCCATGTCTACCAGCTAGGGGACTGAGTCCTACTATTACTCCCCTCCTCCAAGAATATGTTACTGGCAAAGTGGCAAGGACCTTTTGAGGTCCTGCAGAGGGTAGGCCAGGTAAATTATGAGGTTTGCTGGGAGGGGAAATGGCATGGTTCACAGATATACCATGTTAACCTGTTAAAACCCTGGAAGGCCTGAGGGGCCTGTCTGAGCTATACATGTCTACTGGAAGCTGGTTTGGATGTTCTGGATGCCCTCCTGGATCCAGTAGCAGGCCTCAAGCTAGGGAAGACTTTGACCCTGACTCAATGGGTTGAAATAAAGAGCCTCCAGGCTGTGCAATTTAAAAGGGACACTCAAGAATCCCAGCTGACTGTGGAAAGTGGTGAAACAAGAAATTAAGAAGATGTTGGACTTAGGAGTAATAGAGGAATTGGCCAATGAGTGCACTAGTCCAATTGTGTTCGTGCCAAAACCTGACCACATCATCTGATTTTTGTATTGACTTCTGCAAAGTCAACACAGTTTCAAAATGTGACGTGTAAGCTATGACCAGAATAGATTAAATGGTGGAGGTAATAGATAATGCAAAGTACATAACCAACTTGGATATTGGCAAAATCCTTGGGACCCAGCTTCTTGAAAAATCATGGCCTTTGCAACACCCCGGGGGCTCTAGCCTTTTAAGACATTACCTTTCCATTTACATGGAGCCCCAGCAATCTTCCAACGCTTAATGGACAAAATACTCTGCCTGCATCAGGTAGGCATATGCAGCTGGCTATGTATCAACACGTGGGTGGACCACCACCAGCGGGTAAAGGAAGAGTTGAAGGTGATAACGAGTAGCTGGTCTAACAACTAACACAGTTAAGTGTCACCTGGGGTATACAGACTGTGATATATATTGGGCAATGGTAAAATCAGGCCCCTAGTAGACAAAGCAAAGGTCTGGTGGAAACACTGGTGCCAAGAACCCAGAAGCAGATATAGTCATTTCTGGGACTGGCCAGCTACTATCAGAAATTCATTCCACAATTTGCAGCCACCACAGTCCCACTGACTGACATGCTGAGGAAGGGAGCACTGCAAAGAATTCAGTGGTCACCCAAATGTGAGATAGCATTTGGGGCAGTAAAATGGCTTCTATGCAGTCCTATGCAGCCCAGACTTAACAAAAAAGTTTATATTGCAGACCAGTGCCTCGGAGTGAGGCCGGGGGATGGTTCTCTCCCAAGAGTCTGAGGGTGGATAACACCCATGCTGTATATCAGTAGGAAACTCCTTCCCTGAGAGCAGACATATGCCATCACAGAAAAGGAGTGCCTGGTGATTAAGTGGGCAGTTAAGTCCCTGCACTACTACCTCCTAGGGGCCTGGTTTCATTTAGTCACTGACCATGCCCTTTTAATAAGGGCTTAACACCATGCGGGAGGCTAGCCCCCAGTTGACAAGATTGTACCTGCCTATACAGCTTTTCAATTTCTTGATACATCCCTGCCCTGGGTCAGCACACACAAATGCAGACTTCTTTTCCCAAGACGGGGGCTGGGGATTGAAGAAAGGGGAAGAGTGTATCCCGGGCTCCACTCTTGGGAGGGGGGATATGTAACAGGGTGCATGGCTCAAGGGTGGGAGCCCCACTGTGGGGGGTTAATGAGTAATAGTCTGCCTTCTCAAGGGCATACGGCCAGCTGACAGGGATGACTGTCTGGCCAATAGGATGTTAAGAGCTCCCAGGGAGGGACGCTGAGGGAGAGAACACTATGGGGCCAAGGGGGCAACACAGAGTCAGGATAGCTCTCTCCAGGTCCGAGAAGGGACCACAGCTATGAGGCTCATCTATGAGTTTGTTTTGTTATAGACATTGGTCATCTTGTGGGGACAAGTTTGCCCCAAGGAAAATAAAAAAGCTGTGTGACAACCCACTACAATGCCATATTACAATCAGTAGCTTCTCAGAACAGATGGATTAGAACTACCATAATTATCGCTCAGTCTTTCTGTTGCCCAATGACAAGCTGTTTGGATGAATGATCCTCAGTTGCAAGAGGTCCTGTATACAGGCTCATTAGAGAGTCATGACTTCTAAAATGTCAGTCCTTCTACAAAAGTTAAGAGTGCAATTTCCCCAAGCCTCTGTCTCATTCTCCTTTGCAAGGCACTCTGGGATATCCTGCCTAAAAGTATTAACAAAGAACCTGACACTAGGACTAAGGGTGGTATTACCTTGCACTGAATGAAGGGCCGCAGGAGCACAAAGATTGGGATACGGGTCCGAACGATGAAATCAAGGAAATCCCACAGGGCAAGCCCGCCCACTTTCCGTAAGGCCATCTCTTTGACTTGTAGGCTCAGCCAGTACCACTGGCTGCCAAGCTGGCGCTCAAAGCAAACAAGAATCACCTTCAGGGCTAAAAAGAAACAAAACCCAGTACACATCAAGTGTTGTGGAGTCAGAGTTGCTTACATCATCCTGTAAAGACATTTTTGGACTGGAGGGTTGGGTGCAGTACAGAGTAATAGGGTAGTCTTAGTTTAAACAAAAGGCTCAGCCAGGAAGCATGGATACCTTTCCCAGCATCTTCCAGTGAATTCCTGGAAGATTTTCCTACCATCTGTCTATGTCTTTTTCACTTCAGGGACTTCTTCCTTATTCTGAAATGTTAATCTCTACAAGCAGTCCAGTGTACCTAGAAGGGGAGTCACTATGTGACTTGTGAAGTGTTTCTTCTAGGCCATTCATGGGGCAAGAAAGAGGGACCTTACAGTACCAAATGAAATATGAAGTGTTTGATCAAGCCAAGTACCACAGTCCACTAATATAACTAATCCTGTGAATGGACAAAATTAGACACAAAATTATGCTGCTTATTAAAAGTTAGATTGTGACTTAGATTACATGCCCATTCAAAGAAGTATGAATCCCCTATGCATGTCTCATTAGGTAGTTTGAACCTTGGGTCCAGGGAAATGGAAATAAGCAGAGAAGAGCTAGCAAAATAGATAGAGCCTTGACTCTATCTTCCTCTACTGGTTTGCCAAAGGCTGGAACAGACAACATGTTTATACTGGTTTAATTGACATCATACCAATATAAACAAGTTGTAAACAGATAATACCCACTAAACTCAGATAAATTTGCCTAAACTAGTGAATAATTAGCCCTGAAAGAATCAAAGCAAAATTCCATCAGAATAAAACAGTGGATTAGATTTTGTCTGTCCATTTTATTATGGCTCAGCCAGTACCACTGGCAGCCATTTTATTGCGACTATTTTGTTGCGGCAAACAAATGGTCATTTGCTCTCCTGCACCTCATGGGGAGGTGCAGGAACAGCTGTGACCTGCATGCTGCCACCACAGGATAGTGGTACATCTGTCTGGTCCGGTGCCATTTAAATAGCTATAAAAACTGCTCTAAATTACACCGATGTATGCATTTGTCTATGTCCCAAGAGTCACTGAGCCAGTGGGCGCAGTTGTGGGGAGAGGTCTGTGTAGTAATCAGGTATAGGTCAATAGCAAGTTATTACTTTCTACAGAAAACACTGAACAGGAGGAACTGTCAAGCAGTGAAGTGTCTCTTAGGATAGAAACAGACATCGCTGAATAAAGCAGCACAACTGATCTGCTTCATTGGGCGAAACACACGTTGCCCCTTGATGATGCAGCACAAAGGGCAATGAGATCTCTCTGCTTCCCCCACTCAGCCAGACCAGTTCTGTGCTCGCAGGAGATAGCCCTGGCTGAGCAGAGAACCCCAACTTCCCTGGTTATGGTGAGGCATCCCAGATTCCCTGGGGTACCTCTCTATAATCAGGGAAAGCAGGCAGGTGCTCTGAGGGCTCGAGGAGTCTATGTGTGCTATGCTTGCAGAAGGTAGGATTCTGAACGACAGCCAGCATGGCTTTTGTCACACACAGGTCTTGTCTTACCGATCTCATCTCCTTCTATGACCAGGTAACTTGCCACCTGGATAAGAGAGAGGAGGTCAACTTTGTATACCTAGACTTCCAAAAGGCCTTGATTTGGTATCCCAGGATGTTCTCATGGGAAAACTGAAGGATTGCAGGTTTAACTGCTCGACAGTCAGGTGGGTAGGAAACTGGCTGTGGGTAGGACCCAGAGAGTTCTAATGAATGGATCTGTGTTGTCCTGGCGAGAAGTGGCCAGTGCTGTCCCTCAGGGGTCCGTGCCTGGTCCAGTGCTTTTCAACATCTTTATCAATGATTTAGATGTGGGGTTGAAGAGCTCACTGGCCAAGTTCGCAGACAACACCAAGTTATGGGGGAGCATGGTCACGCTTGAAGATAGGCTGCAGATACAGGGAGACCTAGACAGGCTTCCAAGTTGGGCGGACTGGAACCAGATGAAGTTCAACACTGAGATGTGTAAAGTGCTCCACGTGGGGATGAACAATCTCCAACATACTTACAGGCTCAGTGGTGCTGAACTGACTAGCACAACTGAAAGGGACCTAGGCTCATGTTCATACTAATATAGACCATAGTAAGAACATAAGTCATCAGTGGGATACTGCAGCCAGCAGGGCAAACAATACTCTGGCATGCATCAACCAGTGCATTTGCAGCAAAACCAAGGACGTGATACTCCCACTGTACTCAGCACTGGTGAGATAGCATTGGAGTACTGCATCCAGTTTTGGGCACCACACTTTAACAAGGACGTGGAAAACCATGACAGAGTCTAGAGAAGAGCCCTCTGTATGATCAGAGACTTGCAAGGCAAGCCATACAAGGAAAGGCTGAGGGAGATGGGTCTCTTCAGCCTAAAAAAGAGAAGGCTGAGAGGGGACTTGGTAGCAGCTTACTGCTATATCAGGGGAATACATCAAGGGCTCGGCAAACAAGTGTTCACCAGGGAACCCTTGGAGAAAACCAGCAGTAATGGCCACAAATTCCTGGAAGACCATTTCAGGCTTAACACTAGGAAAACCTTCTTCACAGTTAGGGTGTCCAGACTGTGAAATAAACTCCCTCCAGAGATGGTGCAATCACCTACCCTGGAAATCTTCAAGAGAAGCCTGGACAGTCACCTTGCTGGAGTCACCTGACCCTAGTTGTCTTCCCCGCATAGTGCAGGCGGGCTGGACCCAATGATCTTGCAAGATCCCTTCCAGCCCCTAACAATCTATGAATCTGTCTATGATCTATAATGGACTTCTGCCACAATAAAGTGGCAGAGTCCATCACTACCTGCTGTTGAGCCACTGATTTTCCTTTGGGCTAAGTACAGACAGTCAAAAACCCTGAGGCTAAATTTATTCAGCCTTTGCAGGTTAGTCTAAACTCTGTAGATTGAACCAATAAGTTGTAGCAAAACCCCCAGTTTTTCTTTATATATATATATATATATATACACACACACACACACACCTTCTTTCTCTCCCTCTCTAATCCCTATAAACAAGCTCAGATTTAGGATAAGCTGTAACATTTTTATTTTGGTAGCAAGTTTTTGGTTTTGGATATCCACTGTTTTATATTGTATTATTATTAGGTTTGTATTGATTCTTACTGTTGTACATTGTATTATTATCATTTTCGTATTGATTTTTATTGTTTCATATGGTTATTGTATGGTATAGGCCTGTGTTTGTAAGTGAACCAAAGTAATGTCAAGTCTCCATCTTGTGTCCTCTGCCCAGGCATCCTCTGTGTTGCAACTGTATGATTCACGTACCCCTCCCATGTAAATTGGTTCCCGGATGAATGAGAGAGATTGGGAATGATTGAAATGCACTG